AAATTAAATTTATATTGAAATAAAACAAAGGGAGCACACTGAATAAGTAAAATCTATAGCTTTTTTGAATGCTTTAAGAGGAACAGGTCTAGTTGATTAGTTTGTAAAGGTCAGAGTTAATAAACAAATTTGTTTGGTCTTTACTAAAGTTGTCACTTTTATGCTAGCAACTAAACCAAAGTTAGCTATTTGTGGCTTCTGACTTTTTGATAATATTAAAACTAACAATGTTAAGTTTAGTATTTTTTAAAAAAGCTATATTATTATAAAAAACTTATAGTATTGTTTTCTAAATTTTAGTCAATTTTTGTTTGTTTTAATGATCTATGAGAAAGAGTTGATCTAGATAAACTTTAATAAAGAGCTTTTGCATTTTATTATATTTTGATTTTATTTAAAATTTTTGCAAATATGTGAACTTCTTAAAAATTTGTCAATTTTTGATTTACTTCCCTTTTACTTTTTTCATTTATTTCATATTCACAATTTTTAAAAAATTTTCATAATATTTTGAATTGTTTCAACACATTGTAATAATATTGCATATATATATAGTATGATAAAGATTATTTAAAATAAATATATTATATTATTATCTACTTTGAGATTTACTCTATTAAATAATTTATATTAGTAAACTTTCTGCTATTAGTTAAATTTTTATTTTTATTTTTATTTTTTTTTTTTAAAGTAACCTTTTTGGTCTTTTGACTTTTATTAATTACTTATCAGTATTGTAGTTCAATGAACCACTACAGGAGAGCATACAATTCGCTATACATGTAACTTTTCTATATTACCTATTTAAGGAGTCTGCCCAAAGGTTCCCTACCAATTGTCATACCTAACATCCCTGCTTGGGTGTTTTACTTTAAACTCTCTGAACCTGTAATCTGTATTAATATCACTGGGTTATCCCAGATGCCCAAATTATCATTTCAACCTTAGAACTAATTTATCTTTGAGGTAAACTTCCTAGAGCCTTCTGTATTCATTTTTACAGCTGACCTAGATATCGCTATAGCAGAACCAACACTTGTGGTCAGAGCTGATCATTAAACTGCTATGCCCTTGTAGAGTTCATACAAACCCCAGCATCTACTTCACAGCATATCCAAAATACTTTAGTATACCTCTGCTGGTTCACTAAACTCCCAATCCAGATAGCCTGGTAGGACTTACGACAGGTCTATTGCTATATTAGATCTGTCTAATATTTTTTTTCTTTGGCTCGATCCAGTGGCCTAGTTGGTGGTACCTCCATCTAGAGGTTTTTATCTGTTTGGCTACTTCGACCTTGGTATCCATTTCATAAGACTAGCCTTTACAGTAGGGCTATCGAAGATTTGGCTATCTCTCTACTTGGGTCTTCCCAAATGGACTTCTTATTATCCAATTTCAATGGATTTACACGACTACAAGGACTTATCTAGTGTTTGCATTGCTTATTGCCAGTTTGCATTTCTTCATGTAACCACAACCTTGTCCCAAAGGACAATATTATGTAACCTGTTACATAAATGCCCCATGACCTACCAGTTATGCTTGTGCAACCACTATTACAGGTATCCTAACTCAATCATTAGTAACAGTTGTCATAATACGAATATTACACAGGTGATTATCTAAATTTTTGCTGTCAATAGGATTTGAACATCCAACTTACCACTTGAAGGGTTACAACAGTCAAAATTTTATTTAAAATTAATTTTACTATATTATAATTAAATATTAATTTTATTTTTATTTTTTTAATTTAATAAAATTTGAAATATTTTAAATTATTTCAAAATATTTCATTATATTTTTGTATTTTTTAAAATAATTTCTATTTATTTTTCATTATTTTGTCTTCCACAGTTTAGTTAATTTTTTCGCTATATTTCAAAATATTTTTACTGTACATTAATTTCAAAAAATTTTTTCGCAATATTGCAAAAATTTTTTCATAATGCAATAATTTTGAAATTTATTTTGCATTATTTTGAAATATTTTGCATTTCACAAAAATTTTGAAATTTCTTTTACATTATTTCAAAATTTTTGCACTATGCAAAATCTTTTGAAATATTTTGCATCTATAATTTTGCTGATGTCTTTGACCTCTTTAACATGTTTGTTGAATACTAGTAATCTTTTAACAAATTTTGTTCTTTCTTCTTGTGAACTACCTAGTATATTGTATGCTGATATTTTTGCTGCATATGTTCTTTCATTGCTGCAATCTCTGTTTAAGGGTGACCAGATGCTTTGTTTAAGTAGTTCTTTTATAGTATTATTTTTGTTTTCTTCTTATTCAGTTTTATGAATTCTCTCTTTTTCATTTTTCTTATTTTCTTCTTGGTTTCTAATTGCCATAATGATGTTTTTATAGTCTTCTTGCATTAACTCTGTCTTCAGTATTTTTATTTCTTCTTCTATGTATTTGTCTGTTTTTGTCTCTTCAATTATCATGCTTGTCATTTCTGTATTTGTAGCTTTTTTGCTTTTTTCTTCTTTTTTGTCTTCTTTCTCTTCCAAACTTGTATTTTGTCATAGCTTTTTTTTATTTATTATTATGTCTACTGCTTCTGTTTCTTGTCTCATTTTCTCTATATACATTTCTAATGTGTTGATTTTCTTTTTTGGTGTTGTTTGAACTTTTTTGCTTCTTATACTTTGTACTGCTAGTAGATGTTGGCTCATGCAATTTATCTTTTTTGCCTAATTTTCTACACTTTTTGGATCTTTTATATCTACTTTAATTATTGCTTCATATATTTTTTTTAGCATTACTGTTTCTATTAAATCTGTTTTCTATAGTGCTGCTGCTACTATATCTTTTTACATTAAAATGGTTGTCTCTATTTGCTAGTTTTTGCTCTAATTCTTTGCTATCTATAAGCTTTAGTTCTGCCTTTGCTCTTTTACTTACCAATTTTAGCATTATTAACTCTTCTGCCTTTGTTTATGTTATCTATGGCTGTGTTCTGTACTACTTTTGTTTACAATCACATGCACTTTGTAATGCTTACATGTTTATTCTGTCTATATTTGTACATGTTTGTTTGTTTGTTTGTTTTTTCATATGCTTACATGTTCCAAACAAATTTGTGATTTCAGATTTAAGCTATTTTCCTAAAAATTTTTATTTTTTGAGACTTATTTGGCAAATTTGTCTTTTTTTACTTGCTTCATATCTTGCTTTCTTCTATTGCACTACTTGTTAGATCTATTTCTAGAGCTCTTTCTTTTTTGTTAAGTCTTCGAACACAATTTTAATAGTGGTTTTCTTGCTAGTCTTGATTTTTGTTTTTACAGTTTTTATGTTTTGATGATTAGCAAAAAGAGTTGATGATTTATAATTATGTATTATATACTTAGAATTATCAATAAATCTTTATTTACAAAATAATAAAACTATGATTAGTAAAAAGTTTAGTTATAATAATATGCATTGTAAAAATTATATCATACAATTTTTTTTTTTTAATTTTAAGGGCAGTCTTGCCTATGTGTCTTTTTATTAGTAGTAGTATAAAATTATATATTATATACAGAGTATATCAATAAAAGTACAACTAGTTACACATATAACTTTAGTCATTATTTAATTAAGGGTTCCGCCTATAGGTTACCCACTAGATGCCATACCTGAGACCCACTGTGAGTCCCCTATTTAAACTTTCTGATTTTCAACACTTAACTGCATATATATATAATGTATACTATCATGTTTATGACAGAACAGGTTAGGGCTATCTAATTACTATTTATATCTAAGTCCCACCTCATTGGATGTTACTAAGTATTCATAGTTCTTTCGAATTTACCCTCGATGCAAACTTACTAAGTATAGTACTAAGATTACTTCTTAGATTTATTCAATTTTAGTATATCCTGTATCTACTAGAATCGGTTTGGTACCAGAAGTGTTCAAATTTTGGTAAGTTCATTCTTTTTTCATAGTTTTCTTTTATGTTCACTGTATCACTCGCTAGTGTGCCTTCTCTCCATTTCTGGTATGTTCATTGCTTCTCTTATATTGAGCACCAACTCACCATATTAGGAATCTTTTTTCCAGGAACTTCCTTATATACTGATCTTCTAATCATATGGACTTAGCCACAGGGCTTCATGTACATTCATATGCTTCCGTAGATTACAAAGTTGCCTCTAGCTAAAATTGAACCATCAACCTTGTCTGTGAAGAGAGGAGTGCCTAGACCACTAGACTACAGGACTCTATCCCTAATTATATTATACAATAGTTATTTAATAAAGATATTATAAGCTAAATATAATGTAAATTTGAATTAATAAAGTATAATATATACAAACTTTAAATAAAAAAAACTATATACTTATTTTAAAATATGTATAGTAAATATGTCTTATTAAAATAAATATATATAAATATGTATTAGCAATCTTGTATGTTGTAGTTTATTTCTCAATATGATACAATCATATTTCTTGTAAAAAATATTTAATTTCAAACTTGCCTATAACATATATTTACAATATAATATTCAATGTAAAAGTATTGTTCTATCTTTAAATATATAAACTTACCTGAAATAAATTTTTTGAAACACTCTTCTTAGGCATATCTTTTCAAACATTACTTTGAAAACACTCTTTTAAAAAGTTTTTTTCTTAATCTCTGAAGCTCTTCTGAAACATTTTCTCAAACATTATATTTAAACCACTTTTTTGAAACATGTTTTTAAAGTATTTATAATAGTTATTAGTTAAATTCATTATAAATAAGACACTTATTGGACTTCTATTTGAAATCAACTAAATCTCAAAATTATTAATTAAAAAACTTACTATCAAAGCTTTTTTAATAAATCTATTTTTGTAATCAATTCCTATAGATAATTATTATTCAAGACTTGAAGATCTAAATGAAACTTTGATTACAAATCAAAATATGAATGATTATCTAGATTTAAAGATTTAAAAGAAACTATGATTAAGATCAAAATATGGATGATTATTATTCTAAACTTGAGGACTTAGAAGAAAATTAGATTATAGTTCAAATGATCATGAATTTACTCATAATTATCTGGCTGTAATGAAAGTAAGAAGTTTGTTAAAAAATCAGATAATACAAAATAATGAAGATAATGTTGAAAATATATTATCTGAGGATAAAGAAGATGATAAGAGTTATGAAATTTCAGAAGTTAAAACAAAAAAACAGTCACTTTGTGTTATTTTTAATAATGCAAAAGAAGAAATTGGATGCTATAATTCAGCAGCTAGATTAATATCATTAACTTAGTTAATAGGAACTTAGGAAATAGAAATAACTCCAAAAGAAAATTTAAATATAACTAAGTTGGAAGTTTGTTCTAGTCATTTCAATTTCAATTATAGCAAACTTCACTCATCTAGCTAAACAAATATGAAATGTTAATAAAAATATAATTTCTACAAAAAAAATATTTACTCTCCAATAAATATAAGAAGTTTTTTAACAGAGATAATAATTGTATAGAGCATTGCTAGAATATATGCAAAAGAGATATTCAAATACTATGACTTGGTTTTAAATCATATTTAGTTTTTCAAATAATTTCAATATTACTTCAAATATTACTAATAATAATTGTATTAAATATATCTGCACAAGTTGTTTTAAAAACAATGATAGGCATCTTCATATATATCAAGAATCAGGAAAAATATCTAAAATATATATTGATAATGAATTATATAACAAAGACACTAATTACATTTTGAGACTTTTCTTAAATTGGCTATTAAACCTCTCATATTTTCAAAATGAGAATAAAAAGAAAAAAGTATTATATTATATAATAAAATTATTGGAGTCTGCAAAATCAAGTCTCTATACATAATCACTAACACTCAAATCTAGGTGAGCCTTGGCCACTTTGGTTGGTTTAGGTCACAGATAAATTAGTCTAAGCTTCTATTCTTTCTATAATATTTTAAAAGCAGAATTGTACTTTATATAAAATCTTAATTAAATATTCAATAAAGATAGAGGCATGGCCTCACTATTAATATTAAAAAAAAAAAAAAAAAAAAAAAAAAAATCAAAATCAAGTTTATTATCTTCTAATAATACAGAGTATAATTTACCTAGTCTATTGCTTGTAAAAATTGCTATGACAATTAATAAACTTGAATATTATTTATTTACAGATAAAAAGCATATAAAAGCAGAAAAATGTAGGCTATTTGAAGAAATGCTAGGAAAGTTAATATGTGACTCACATGATGATATTGAAAAAAACTGTAATAAACTAGAAAATTCATCATCATGAGATGAATATTATATTAGTTTTCTTTTAGCTCTTACTAGTTTTTATAATAGATTAATTAAATCTATTGAAAAACAAAAATATGCAATAAAAGAAAAGAAAAATAGACAATGCAGAAAAATAGCATCAGAATTTGATACAAGTTCTATAAAAAAGATTACTTCATTTCTTGCATCTATTATTCTAACAATAGCATTTTATTCATGAAAGATATGGCTTATCTATACTATGGCTTCTTTGTATAAAAAGTCTAAATTAATATCTTTTCTACAAGCAATTTTATATGCAGTGCATATTATGTCTCATATGTGAAAACATAAAACAAGACTAGAGAAGGAACATATTAAAAAATTTAATCCTTTAGCAAGATTAATAAAAGGTTTAAATATTTTGAATATTGCTATAATAGATAATATTAACTTTAAGAATATTGTTTTCAAATATAGAAATATTTATAATTCATATAACAATCTGTACATGCAACTCTAAAAATGTTGTTTCAATTTAAACTTCCATTTAATCTTTTATTATTTATTCAAAAATGTTCAGAATCTTAAGAAATCCTATTTGGTCAATTAGTATTTACATCTGAATGAGATGAAAAACTTGACCAAATAATAAAACAATTATTAAACAAATATGAAAATAATTTTGAAATTAGAGAAATTAATACTAAAATACTTACTAAAATTGAGTCAGAGTGTCAAGTAAACCCATCTAATATTGTTATTTTGGAATCTAAACTAGCATCTAATAGCAATACAGCTGTATTTAAGTTGATTGATATATATTTAAATAATCTTAAACAAAATATTGTTGACTTAGCATGTGATATAGCAAGTTTTAAAAGAACTAAATTATATACAAATAAAAACTTGTAAGTTTATTCTTGAACAATGGCATACATCAAAGGCTATATGCAGTGCTTTAATTGCAGTATTTAGTAGATATAGACTTTATAATATGATACCAACTTGGTGTCTGATTTCTTGACAAGTTGGAGCAAAATATTAATTATTATGCAACTTGTAAAATGTTGAAATTGATACATGCTGCTGTAGGAATAGCAATTCATATTTATCTAAATAATATCAATATGCTATTAGATGTAGAAGCTATATTTAGAGAAAATAACAATATTTTAAAAGTATGGTTTTTATATTACTGCCTAACTAAATACTAAAAAGGTCATTATGCAGAAATTCATTTGGGTAATGTGAATCACAACTAAAAAATTTGGCAGCATTTGCATCATTGTTCCTGTTACTGGAAAAAATATTTATACAATGTCAGTAATAACTTTTTTAAAATCAGTATTATGCAACCTGCAGCAATGTGAATTGCTTAAGCATGTTGCTTTAGTAAATATTATCCAAAATAATTATTACTTAGCTTTTGATAAAGCTTTAAAACAATATGGTGTTAAATTTGTTAAACAAAATTTAACTTCTGGCTTATTAGATTCAGAAATTCTAACTGCAATTCAAGATAAAATATAAAAGGTTGAGGTTACTGTATAGTGAATTTGTAGAAGACAATGTCATTAGTACAGGAGATCAAGCAGTTAAACAATATACAGAACTATTGTGGCAGTTTGTTGATAAGCTTACTAAAACATTTAATAATTTTGATTCTATTTAGCATAAACTTTTTAAACATATGCAAGAAATGAACCAAAATGATTATATATAAATGTTTGGTTTTTATAAAAAAGGTTTGTTCAGTTATATAATATTCTTTACAAAAAGATTTATAAAACTAAAGAAAAGGTTACAAAAGAATAATAAGTTAAAAATTGAGTTAATATCTTAGCTAAACAATATTTACTATTAACAAAAGATTAAACTATAGAACTTATCTGTTACTCAATCTTGTTAATTTTTATGTTAAATGAATTTTTAATATATAAAAATCTTTGATCTACTGTACTGCAAAAATTTATTAATAAACCCTATTTTGTACTAATAAGTAAGAATATAGATCATCATTTATACTAACTTGCTGCTTTAAAAAAAAATCACTTAACTTGCCTTCTTGAAAAAAATGCAAGCAATAAAGTTAAAATTATATGTTTTTTTGTTTTTTAATATTTAAAAAAATAAAATAAAAAATAAAAAAAAATAAAAATCAATTATAAATAAAATAAAACACAGATTAAGTTTTATTATTGTATAAAGATCAAGTATTTAGAAAGTTTCTAGACTTTTCTTATAATGATCTAAAGTAAGTATATAATTTTTGTATAACATTACTATATAAAATCAATTAGTATAATATATTCCTTAACTGCTAGCATAACTGGCTAATCACAAAGCATTTGTGTAATCTTGGTTACACAAAAGAATGCAGACTAATATTAAGTAATGCAAATCTAAGATAAGTCCTTGTAACTGTACAAATTTATAAAACTGAGAAACTAAAGCTTATTTAAAAATACTAAGTAGAAAGATAATACAGATCTTTGACAATACTACTGTAAAGACTAAACCTAGAAAATGGATACTAATATGAAGGAATTAGGTAAGCAAGAACCTCATATAAGAGGTATCACTAACCAAACTATCAGATTTCAGACTAGAAAAAAAAATATTAGATTAGTCTTAATATACCAAAAACAGATTACAGTTCTTTTGAGCTATTTGTATTAGAAGTTTAAGAACAAAAACAAGAATATACTAAAAGTATTAGGAATATGTTATGAAGTTAGTGCTAGAGTCTAGATAAACTCTGCAAGAGTAGCTTTTGTTAATGTTCTATAGAGTGAGTAGATAGTTAACAAGAGAGGCCTTCTGCATCTTACTGGCAAATGTTGTACTTTGAAATATATAACAGCTTAAAAACTAGTACAAAAAGAATAAGTATCATACTGCTCAGACAGTATATCAGTTAGGTATATATATTAGTATTACATTATAATAAGATGAATAATCAGAGAGTTTAAATGAATAATCTTCTAGTAGGTTATAGATATAACATTTAGTATAAAAGCTTAGAATGAACTACTTAAATAGGCAACTAAAAGTTGTATATATGACTAGTTGTACTCTCATCTTTGTATAAAATAGTTGTAATAACTAATCTAATAAAAAGTCAATAAAGTTTCATTATAAAGTATAACCTTTAACATAAAAAAAAAATATTATAATAGATAGAAGATGTAAAAAAATTAGTAAAGAATTAGTAAGAATGCTTACTAGTATTCTAAACAAATCTTGCAACAAAATTATAATTAACTGTGTGCTAAAATATAAAAAGATAATTACATTTTATACAATGAACCAAGTATTGTATTAAAGTAGATAAAAAAACACTTTAGTGAGTAGTTTAAACAGAGAAATATAACAATTAATAAAAAACTAATAGAAAAATTTTATAAACCACTCATAGAAGTTAAAAAGAGTAGTATGAAAAGTTAAAAGTAGAAATATTAATTAATATATAACTAGAAGCAATAAGAAAAATCAAAAATAAAACTAATTTTAGTTTATCTAATATTGGTTATAGATTGATTAAAAGTATGAGTAGAAAGATACAAGAAATTTTAAAAAATTTGCAAATAATTATTTAAAACTTAGAAAAATACTATATAAGTAGAAACTAATACAAATATATCTAATTTTTAAAAATAAAAACTGGAGTTACAAACTCTATAATATTAGACCAATTACACTGCTAAAGATATTCAGAAAGTGTTTAACCAAGATCATAATAAAAAGAATGTTTAGAATAATAGAAAAAAGAGAAATATTCAAAGGTTCAAACTTTGTTGACTTATCTGAAAACTTAACAAAAGAAACAATTTATATAATAAAGTTGATAAAAAAAAATATAAAAAAAAGTAACAAAAAGTTGTAACTATTAATACAAGATATGAAGAAGATATACAATTCAGTCTTAATGAAGTCACTTTACTTAATATTACAAAAAATTAAGTTGTTAAAAGAAATAGTAAAGTTCATATTAGAGCTTTATAATAAAAAAAAAGTTAGTA